AAAAATGATAGTAGAAATAAGGAAAAATGGAATTCAGGATCTTAATTTTAAGGTTTTAATCAAATGGGCAAGTGAAATCAATAGTAATGTATTCTTTGATTTTATAAGAGATACAGGGTTGGTAAATAGAATTTAAAACTCTTGTTTCACACCCCGGAGCAGACGGTGGCGGTAATGCACCTATTTGCGTTGGAGCCAGCCGCCGTTAAAAACCACGAAGAAGAAGAAGAAGACACTGGTGAAGTGATGCAGTCAACTCTTGAAAAAGATCCGACTCAGAAGAATGATTCACGAATCGGACAGCTGTAGTTCATTCCCTGTGACAAACATGGCAGCGCTCATGTATAACGTGTGTCGTGGATTTGTTATTTTCGGGGAACGTAGTTTATTACTCAGAGGACATAATAACCACCGGATCTTGGTGAATTCGAGGCGATATGTCCGAGCCCTCCGGCGGAGACCCGTGGCGGTCGTGTATCCTGATGGCGAACGAGAGAGATTAATTAAATCAAACGAAGCAGCTGATAAAATGAACCAGAAGCTGTTCACACAGAAGGACAAACACAGAGAGAAAGTCTCAGGGAGCGCTGGCAGCCAGCAGTGGAGTGGACATGTGTCTGGATGTGCAGAAGAGTCTCCTCAGATGAAGGACAAACTCTCTGGCCTGCGCTTCGAGAAGGCTCCTGCTGGAGAGAACAGACTCGCGTGAGGGGAAAAATGACACCAATTTATCGGCATTCTTGAAAAATACTGAGTTTTAAATGGCAATATGTCTGGCAATAATTTATTTTGGTTATTCATTTTCGTGTATTTAATAGAGGAGCACCACCATATATACACTATATCGCCAGAAGTATCGGCACACCCCCTTCTTTAGAACAGAGGAAGGCACTTCCAAAACTGTGGCAACATTCATGTATTTAAAACTTGTATTTCCATCTCTGTTGCAACAGTTTTGGAAGTGTCTAAAATGACTGTACCCATATTTACAACTCATTGGAGTTTGGTGATGAGTTTTTGGCGTATTTGGATCGCAGATATATCTGTTGGACCCAATTTAAAACTTTCCTTAATTACAATAATAATAATAATAAAAATAATAATATTTCAAACAAGAACTTATAACCTTTGACAAAAAAAATAACGATTTTAATATATTTTGCTATACATGTGTGTATATATATATATATACTTTGCATTTTTTCTTTCATATGCAGATTAATGGTGTAGTTGAACAATTTTGCAGTAAATAGGTAAAAAAAAAGTACCACATATCCCTCAAAACACAGCATAAATGTATTGTTGAGGAGTTAATAATGATAATAATAAAATAATATATATCATTTGTATTATTAAAAATGCATATTTTTTTTAATGCAGCCGCTCTGTAAATGTGTGGGGTCGGAAGAAAAGTGTTTTTGTTGTGCTTCGGCTCTGCTCCTCTGTGCAAATAAATGTACACACACATCTTATAATACCTCATAACCGGTGATTGCCTGGAAGGTTTGTTGTTTTGAATGATCCATGGTCATTGTCATCGTTTTGAATGATCTATGTCCGTCCCGACAGGGTTAAAATATTAATCATTTTTATAGGTTTATCAAAGTGTATTAGGGTAAAGTATGGTTTGGAAGATGGATTGTTTTGCACTCTCTCATTAACATGTTGTTATTTTTATCAAAGAAAAAGTTGCACAGTGTAGTTTTAAGAGATCTGTCACTCTGCCCTCAGGAGGGTGGCCAGTGTTGCCCGGTCCAGAGCGTTTCGGGATAAGGAAGGTAAGGTGCTGCTGGAGGGGAGGCGTCTGATCTGTGATGCTCTGTCTGCTGGAGCGGCTCCTCAGATGCTCTTCTTCAGTGCAGTGGAGCGACTGCAGGAGCTTCCTCTAGGTAAATTACAGCAGGCCAAGCTCATCAAGGTCAGATATGAAGACATGAAGACCTGGTCTGACCTGGTCACTCCTCAGGGGGTTATAGGTGCGTTGCTGACTCTTCTATAAACCTAGTTCACATCTAAATGTTTATAACACAACTCCAATCACATTGTGTCCTTCAAAACGCAGCTATATTCTCAAAACCGGATGCCTCCCGCCTGGTGTTTCCAAAAGACACGCGCTTTCAGTCGGTTCCTTTGTTTCTGTTATGCGACAATCTACGTGACGCTGGGAACCTAGGGACTATTTTACGTTGTGCGGCAGCTGCTGGCTGTGAGCGTGTTCTTCTTACCAAAGGTGTGTGATACATTTATATATTATACTTAAACCTTATAACTTATTAAACACTGCAGCCTGTTTTCACATTCTGGGTCAGTATGTAAACTTTTTAAACATTCTCATAACTTCACGCACACGCGCGTGTGTGCAAGAGAGAGAGACAGGGTCACATCACAGTGGAGTCAGCTGTCTTAACCGTGGCTTGTGTACTGCAAACACATATTCATCACTGTGTCTGTCACGCGACTCTGTTCCCCTTTCGGGCTCTGTCTTTACATTTATTTTGAAAGCTGAAGCTGTGATTATGGTAAGGGGCGTTACTTTTCCGACGAGTGCTTGTGGTGTTCGGCCAATCACAATGCACTGGGTCAGCTGGCCAATCAGAGCAGACTGCGCTTGTTGTTAGGAGGGACTTTGTAGAAAACGAAGAGTTGAGAGAGGCGGGGCATAGAGGACCTACAATAATGTACAGTATTTGAAAAATAATGTGTTTTCTGAACATTAAAGCATGTCACCATATTCTGTTACACCAAATACACAAAATAATGATCTTTAAAAAAGCATCATATGACCCCTTTAATGTTTCAGCAAAAAAGCATTGTATTTAAATGAAGAACTTCTCATTGAGTAAATGTGCAAGCAGGTTTTGCATATTACTATGTTATTACTACACTTACAATTTTTTATTAAAAAAGCTAGAGCATTTTTTGAAACTTTAAATACTTAAACTATAGCAAAATGAACTGTAATGCAATAATAATTTAATATTTGTTACATTTTATATGAATATATTGTTAAATGAAATTAATATAATATGATAATTACCTGTATTAACAATTGAAAACAATGGATTTAATTAAATTCCTTTGAACTTAGAACTCATGTCATGACTACCTAAGAGTCCAAATTTCTGAAACCTACATGCTCATATTCTGGTAAAATAACATAAATATTGCTCAAATTTTTTATAATTTTTTTTTTTTGTCTGTTCATATAGTGTTTGTATGTGCATATGTTTACAAAAATCATAAAAAAAATTCACCACCACAGATATCCAGGTAATGAAATAGTTATCCATTTTAAATAGATCTCTTTTCAACTTTTCAACTTAGTTTACTGTACTAAAACCGTGTTTTTTTTTGTTTTAAGAATTTTTAGAAATATTTTCCGGGTCAAAAATGACCGGAATGCATTAAAATAAACTCTAATCACTTGCTGTTTTTTTTTTTTTTTTTCAGGTTGTGTGGACACATGGGAGCCCAAGGTTCTTCGCGCAGCAATGGGAGCTCATTTCCGCCTTCCGGTCTTTCCTAATTTAGACTGGGATGAAATTTCCAAGCACTTACCAAAGGACGTGGTTGTTCATGTAGCAGATAACAGTATAAAAGCTCCAGTTCCCGGACAAATAGAAAAAGGTTCTTTGGATGACTACAGTGAAAGTGACTCTGATGAAGAGTCCGATGATGAACCTTCGCTGCCGTGTCTGAAGCCTCAGGTGTACTATGAGAGTTGGGCTCAGAGGAGCACGGCACTGGTGATTGGCGGAGAGACGCATGGACTGAGTCTGGAGGCTCGGCGATTGGCTGTGGAAACAGAGGGCAAAAGGCTCTTTGTGCCCATGGCTCCAGGAGTGGAGAGCCTGAACTCTGCAATGGCTGCTAGTATACTGCTGTTTGAAGGCAGACGGCAGCTTCTGCAGTTGTTGGACAAAACACGGCGAAGAACACAATCTAAAATCTTCAAATGAGTGTTTTTTTTGTAATGTATTAAAGTTGTTTCACCAGTACTGTCCATTTTCACTTTATTTATCATTGTGCCTTTTGACTGCTTTTAACAGTTTGTCATTTTTCCAGTAGATGGCGACTGTGTGTTTTGATGTACTCACCCTCAGACCATACAAGTTGTAGATGAGTTTGTTTCTTGAACTGAACGTATTTGAAGAAATTACTCGCCAATGGATCCTCTGTAGTGAATGGGTGCCGTTAAAATGAGTCCAAACAGCTGATAAAAACCAGAATAATCTACAAGTAATCCACACCACTCCAGTCCACCAATTAATTGGTGTTGTGAAGCAAAAAGCTGCATGTTTGTAACTTTAAATAATCATCTCTGGCCAAATTATGAGTTTATAAACCATAATTTTGCTTTCTTTCTCCAATGAAAAAGCTGTCAAACTGCATATTTCTCTCCTGATTCAGACGTGGTGACTTCTTCACTGCACTATTTTAGCTGGAAGCAATGGTTTGAAGATAAAAATGTCTTGATGAATTAGATTCTTATAAACATTCAGCTTTTCATTTCAAACAATCAGACTGGAGTGGATTTTTGTGATGTTTTTATCAGCTGTTTGGACTCTCATTCTGACGGCACCCATTCACTGCAGAGGATCCACTGGTGAGCAAGTGATGTAATGCTGAATTTCTCCAAACCTGTTCTGTTTAAGAGACAAACTCAGCTACATCTCCGATGGACTGAGGGTGAGTACATTTTAATTTTTGAGGGAACTATTCTATCAAAGTACGTCAAACAATATGCAACAAACATTTCAAACAGTATCAGGCTATTGCTACACTGTGGCATGACCTCATTGCATTACATGTTTAATTAAGCAAGTGGAATATGGTTATTCTGGCAAGATTTCTGTGAAAATATTACAATGTACAGTATGAAAAATGGAAGCTATATCATCATTATATAGATGTACAACATGTATAATATATAATGTAAGTGGAAATGGACGATTGAAGGAAGTACATTGCTTTGTGGGATATTTCAGTATTTCGTATCATCATTATATAGATGTACAACATGTATTTATGTAAGTGGAAATGGACGATTGAAGGAAGTACATTGCTTTGTGGGATATTTCAGTATTTCTGGTTGTATATCGCATGATCTGGCAAATTTAAAAGGTCAACGGAGTAATATGAAATTATTATCAGAAAATCTGCTTAATGCACGCAGTATGCATACTACAGAAACTGAGTAGTAGGGTAGTATGAACTGCAAACATAGTCCCAAGTATAAAGAGAACAGAGGCATTTTAAACAGAGTTTTAATGGCTATGACATTTCAAACACAACCAAGGACAGACAGACTGTGCTTTAATTGGCTATATTTCATAAAGAAGCTTGCAATTAGATGCCTTTTATTGTGCCTTCAAAAAACATAGACCGCTTTAATACAGGGGACCTTCACAGAAAATCCACTTAAATGTCATGTTTGAGATGGGAGCAGATCAGTCATTCAACAACATCAAATATCAACAAGAAGGTGGGTGAAGACCTTTAAAGTATCAACTACAGACAACTGCATTCAAAATAAACAGCGGCAGCCACACAAAGAAGTTAGTGCCTTCTATACAAGGATATCAACATCAGCTTGTTCATGTATGCATATTTATCAGCACCCATAAGTAGAGAATCGCAGCCATACAGAACATATGGCCACGTAAAATGTGCAGTCTGTGAATTTTTTTTTAATAATAATACATCTACCAAGCTATATTTATTCTAAGCTCTTGATTCTTGAAACAATATCCAAGGATAGAAGGAAATACTTGATAAAAATCTCAATAAAAGCAAAAAGTCGTGTTCACTTGCAGCTGCACGGGTCAATCTAATCTCTAAATGTAACGGCAAAAGACAATCAACGTTAAAATCTGCATTTTACCATCAGCGCTGTAGTAAATGCAAGGCACCACAGGAGGAGGCGGCCGTTTCGAGATGGAGGGGCACGTATTAAAAGAAGTAAAATATCAATACAAAGTACGCTTCTGTTCGAACAGTCTGACAGGAAGAGAAGAGAGAGCACGCCTGGAGGTCAAGGGCCAGATGGAGGTTCGGGTAACAGGGTGCAGGGAGTTCAAGGACTTCAAATGGGCTCCGGTTTGAGCTTCTCGGCCAGAAAGTCACTAACAAACTGTTCTACCACGGCAGGTGTGATTTCCTCCACGTCTTTAACGTATTTGGCGCGGGCTGACATGTCCAGGATGGTGAGGAGAGGCGCGGCCTCAGGCAGGTTGGTGTAGTCCCGCAGGGAATCGCTCATATCATCCTGTCAGGAGATGAAAACATCAGCTGAAGTGATTATTATTGTCTGTGAAGAGCAAAATGACTACAAAAAAAAGTGAAGAAATGAACTGGAAATGACCACCATGGAGACACAGGGAAACAAAAAAACTGCACTGAGTGCAGTATAAAGCTCTCGCTCTCTCGAAATCAGCATGATGCCACAGACGGGGGAGTCTCTTTCTACCCTATCCGGAGCAGAGTTGAGAGCTCCTCTCACTCCCCACAGAGAGGAGGTCTCTGCTACAGCAGGGGAGGACCAGGAGGGGGTACAAAAACATCGCATCACCCACCTTGTTGCTTTTGAGGCACTACAACCCCAGGAAGCTTCAGAGAGATGAATCACACTGTGTGAGTGTGGAATAAAAATTCCCATTATTCCAGATGGGGGTCACTAAATATGTGTTTGTGGGGTAACAAAGGCAGGCGGAGTGATTTTATTTTCCGAATCTCTTCTGCAGTCTTTCTTTAAGATGTGGTTTGATCTCAATACCTCAAAAACCCTACGGCTCCATAAATGCTGCTTACCAAAATAAACAAAAATAACTAATTTAACATACCCTACATGAATTAAAGAGTAAACTGGATGTTTATGGTTTGGCAAGAATGCCTTTGTTCATATCTGTTGTCAGGGGCAAGTATCCTTCAAGAGCCGTTTCTTTTGTTTGTGGACATAGTGCATCATAAAAACAACATTATAACATATAACCATATAAAGTCTACTGTATCATATTTGATACATGAATTTCCAAAACGTCCACTTTCAGGTAGTGATTCACTTAGTAGTCCTTTTTGCTGTTAAATCTTTATTTATTTGTATAAAGTAAACATAAGAATAAATTGTATATTGTTAATATTTCAAGATGAACACTTTCTTGACTGAAAAATCTTGAGTTTCCTTGAATATGCATTTTTTTATGTTTGTTGAAATGTGAGCATCAGTTGACAAATGGAACGTTTATTTGATCATTTCTCAATCATCATCAGTTTGCATTGTATTATGTTTTGCTCCCCATTATAAATCTGATACTTATATGCATTTTATCAAGTAGTTTGCTATATTTAAAAAAAATCATTTTGATTTACATTACAAACTATCAGAATGTTATCTTACTTTTTAACCATCAGCAGCTGCACCAAATTGCATATTTTTTGCTCAGTTTGAGCCTCTGAATAAAATGAAGGTGATTTCCCCCCCTTGAGTTTGAGCTTCATGTTCTCACTATATATGAGCCATAAAAGCCTGACCTATCAAATATTATACAAAATGTAAAACACAAACTTTTTTTTTTTAGATTTTCTATTATATCTTGCTTAAAAATGGTTTCAACAAATTATATATCTCGCCTAAAGACACTTTAAACAATTAGATTTTTATTAATCTATTACTTCTATTATCCTATTAAAGGGGTCGTATGATGCGATTTCAAGTTTTCCTTTCTCTTTGGAGTGTTACAAGCTGATTGTGCATAGATAAGATCTCTTCTATAATCTATTATTTATATTTATTTCATGTCATGTCAAGCTTTACGTAGCTGAAAGTGCCTACTTTCTCCACCAAAAATAACAAAAATTATATATTTCTAGAAGCAACAGGTCATCTCTTCTCTGATTAAAACCGATTATACTTCTCTTTGTAAAGTCATCCAAATGAGTGTGCCTTGGAAAGAACAGCACAGTAATTTCACATGGAAGGCATTATAACACAAGACATGGTTGCATTTTTGACCACAAGAGGGCAGTACAACAGTTTCAAAGAGTTTTGGGTTCGTTTATTTCATCTCTGACTGGCTCGCAGTGAAAAACCATGAGCTATTCCACAGCAGCACATGGATTAAACCGCACAATCAGATCTTGGGCCCGTAAAAGAGTCGTTGTGCCGTTTTTGCTACCTAAAAAGGACATGTAGGGCAACAGAAAGTTTGTGAGCTCGACTTCAAACAAAACTACTAAGAGATGGAACGGCAGTATTGTAACAATGAAGAAAAACTAAGCATTTTACAAGAGGCTATTTAGCAAAAAACAAATCCCGCACACTATCTATGCAAAAAATATACAAATATTTATTGGCTACATTTCGGTCGCATGACCTTCATCGGAAATTTTTGCAGAAATTTTACAAGAGGCTATTTGAAATTTGAAGTCTAACATCGTTTGTTACTAACCTTTAATAATACTCAGAAATCCTCAACGCTCAAGCAATACGCAGCATGAGGAATCAACCTTAGATGGCTACAGATTTCCTGTTTTATGGAACAGGAAAAGTAGATCACATGGGGTCACTGGTGGTTTTACCCATAATCACTTCCTTTTCCACGTTCCAGATGCATTCCACTGTCCGATGTGAACCCACAACACACTGCATCTGATTAACTCAGAATGATCAACGAGAAAATCACTGCATCAGGCGAGACAATGGCTGTCAAAATGTGACATACATTACAATGCGAAAAGCCTGTTTCTGTGATTTGCCCTAAATGCTCTCTTGTAAAGATTGCGGACGGATAAAGATCAGCGAAAGCCGTCCATCAGCAGAAGCAAATATAGAGAGAAATGGAGTCCGTTAGTGTAACCCTTCCAGGCTTTTAGATATGAAAAGATTACATCTCTCAGGCTGTCTGCCTGTCTATGGTAAGCCATGCATCTTCTTTTGTGGAGCAGCTAACCTTGTGTAAACTGTTCTTCAACCCCGGCGGCCCTTTGGCGCACACACATAGTCCCTCGCCGCCTGCAGTGCTGAGCTCTCCGTGTGGAGACAAAGGGTCAGCCTGTGGCTGCCTCCAGCTGCTAGCGTGATAAGGGCCAGTGTGTTTACCAAATTGCACCGGCCCTACAACGTGAAGTTTATTCTGCCTATTGTGGGCCTGTAGCATTCCATAAGCATTAGCCATCTGCTCATGCAAGCACAGATATGGCTGTCTGATTGGCCAGCTCACTACGAACGGCCCGTGCTGATTGGTTATCTGAGAGCTCTGATCTGAACCCAACAGTGTTCTAGCTGTGCGCTGCACCAGACATTAGGTTCAAATAATTGCACATTGGAAATAAATAAAAGCCATCGGTGAATGAATGTGTCTCGTTGCCAAGCTCTGATTGGGTATTGGATCACTGATTAAAGGATTATTCTCGGTTAAATACGAATTATGGTCTATCGACAGCATCTGAGGTATGTTGGTTTATAAAACAAAGAAAACATTGGTGGAAAATTCTTTAAAGAAATGTTCTGATTTAAACCCAAACATAAATCATAAAATAAAATAAAAATTTTATTAGAAAAATAAATAAACACATATACACTACTGTTTAAAAGTATGTTGTTGTTATTTTAATCTTGTTTTTAAAAAAAAATTGTTTTACCGTTTTTGAAAGAATCTCTTTTTTGCAAAATTGACAATGTCTTAACCTATAAAAAAAACACAAAGCTAAGCAAAGCAAAAAGCACACACACACACACACACACACACACACACACCCAGGTTTGTTTTTATGGTTTATGGGGACTCTCCATAGGCGTAATGGTTTTTATACTGTACAAACCGTATTTTCTATTGCCCTACACCAACCCTACCCCTAAACCTACCCCTCACAGGAAACTTTCTGCATTTTTAGATTTTTTAAAAAACTCATTCTGAATTAATTATAAGTCTTTTGAATTACGGGGACACTGAAAATGTCCTCATAAATCACCTTCTCGTTGTAATACCTATGTCATACCCATGTTATTATATTATTTGTGTCCTCATAAACCACATAAACATGCACACACACACACACACACACACACAGAGAGAGAGAGAGAGAGAGAGAGAGAGAAAGACTGAACAGTGGCAAGAAAGCTAAAGTGAGAAGGGAAAAGTAAAGAAAGGGGCTGCTAATCATCTATTAATTACAGCTGCCTTCACTCTCTACATGACTTCCATAAAGGTCACAAAGAGAAAACAGGAGATAAGAGTTATGAAAATGTTGGCTTTCCTCCCTCTTGGCATGCAGGCTTGAAAGACGAAGAGGAGATCAGGGAGATGGAAAAAAAAAATAAAATCGAGGGAGGGGGAAAGAAAGAGAGAGAAGGGCACAGCTGTTTTGGCACCCTCTGGATTTGAGGCTTGTGCTACATGTGCTTGCCATTCAACTGCAGCTCCTTTTATTTACTGCATGTACATGTTGGTGATTGCAGGATGCCCTCCCGAAGGATTGTTTTACACAAATATACAGAAACAGATGGCACATCACACTTGTGTGTAAAAGCAAGCAAACATTCTGATTGTTGTGGCAGAGAATTTTTTTTTTTTTCAAAATCTCACTCAATAAAGCCTTGAAGAGACCGTTAACCCAAAGAATGGGAAGAGATAAGAGTTATGAAAATGTTGGCTTTCCTCCCTCTTGGAATGCAGGCTTGAAAGACGAAGAGGAGATCAGGGAGATGAAAAAAAAATAAAATCGAGGGAGGGGGAAAGAAAGAGAGAGAAGGGCACAGCTGTTTTGGCACCCTCTGGATTTGAGGCTTGTGCTACATGTGCTTGCCATTCAACTGCAGCTCCTTTTATTTACTGCATGTACATGTTGGTGATTGCAGGATGCCCTCCCGAAGGATTGTTTTACACAAATATACAGAAACAGATGGCACATCACACTTGTGTGTAAAAGCAAGCAAACATTCTGATTGTTGTGGCAGAGAATTTTTTTTTTTTCAAAATCTCACTCAATAAAACCTTGAAGAGACCGTTAACCCAAAGAATGGGAAATCTGTTATTATTTACTCTCTTTCATTTTGTTGCAAACCTGTATGACCTTTTTATTTTCTAAAGGTTGAATTTTGAATAATGTACTGTTCACTCTTGAATTTATGCATTCGAATAAAGGGGCACTGAAGCTTTTAAGCTTCAGTGATAGAGGAAATGATGCAAAAGAACCATAAAATCATCGTAAAAGTAGTCTTGTAAGACTTATGCACTATATTCTAAGTCTTCTAAAGTGAAATGTTAGATTTATTTGACAGGCCTAAATATGGCTGCATGATACTGAAGAAAAAGGTGTTGTGTGATAATGCGTTAACCCAAAGAATGGGAAATCTGTCATTATTTACTCTCTTTCATTTTGTTGCAAAGGAAATGATGCAAAAGCACCATAAAATCATCGTAAAAGTAGTCTTGTAAGACTTATGCACTATATTCTAAGTCTTCTAAAGTGAAATGTTAGATTTATTTGACAGGCCTAAATATGGCTGCATGATACTGAAGAAAAAGGTGTTGTGTGATAATGCAATAATGCATAATGCGTAATTCCATATGCAATACCATAATGTAAAATAATTTTAAATGATATTTAATTTTTATTTCAATTCTGAAAATAATGTGACCAACAATTATTATTATTAATATTATTATCACGCTCAAATTGTTGGCAGCAGCTGCGAGTACCTTGGGTTGACAATGTCTTAACCTATAATAAAAACACAAAGCTAAGCTAAGCAAAAAAACAAACAAAAAAAAAACACACACACAAATGCCAAGTAACAGTCACATACGCAGACTATTTTTTGCTAACATAAAACTATGACTTTTCATAACATTTTTGAGAATTAAAATTATTGAAAGACGTTGCAAAATTAATAGCACAATTTGTACATTTGCATATATTTCAAAATAAACTGCACAAGCCTACAGTCAAATTTAAGTTGTTATTCACTGATAATCTTCATATCCAGTGAATATCCAGATTGAGTCAGTCTGGATCAGTTTGATTCATGAACGAATAATTCAGACCGAAACTGATTCAAAGAAAGACCTGACCTTCTGTTTACAGTGGAGTACATGAGGTAAGTAAATAAATGACAAACTTTCATTTTTGGGCGAACTTCACCTAATTGTTTGATTACATACATAATTGGACAAACATACCTCTCCAGCGACAAAAAAGAGCAGTGGTGTCTCCTCCTCCTTTGCCTTGTATTTGGCCATGATCTTCTCTGCGATTGGCTGGATGAGCTCCTTGGCCGGCTCCAGCTCTCCCTCTTCCTCAGCATCTAAATAAGAGGTTAAAAACAGTGAGATGAGAGAGGAAGATGAAGTGAAGAGTCATTAGGCTTTGAGTGTTCCTCTGCAATGATCTCAAACACAGCTTCATCTCACCTACGAACAGAACCAGGCAGGGCCCTTCATGCAGCTGCACGGCGTTGGATTCGCTGAGCTCCAGCACGGGTCGCGGGTGCCATGGGAAGAGCTCACAGTCGGGGTCATTGAGAATCTCCACCCGCCCCTGTCGCGTGATCATGTGACCCTCTGTGTCCAGTAAAATCAGTGTGGGGATACCTGGAAAAGGTTAAACGGCAAAAAAACTGTACAATATTCTTTAGACTTATTTAATGTCAAGATATAATTAGCAAACAATAGTGCCACAAGCAAACAATTACTTTAAAATTTAATACATCACACATTTATTAAACATCAAATAGGTTAGAATTGGCTGTAATTATAGGATTCAAGCCTACAATGTTAAATCTAATCAATCAAATGTATTAATATATACTGTACATTGCTGAATAATAGAATCAGTTTCTTTAGATATTTTAAATGGCAAAGACGCATTCAATTGATTAAAAGTGACAGTGCAGAAACTTGTAATGTCACAAAAGATGTCTTTTTCAAATAAATACAGCAAATTAGCATATTAGAATGACTTCTGAAGAATCATGTGACACTGAAGACTGGAGTAATGATACTGAAAACTCAGCATTGCATCACAGGAATAAATTACATTTTAAAATGTATTCAAGTAGAAAACAGCCATTTTAAAGTGTAATAATATTTCACAATATTACTGTTTTATAGTATTTTTCATTAAATAAATTAAGCCTTTATATTAATTTATTTACATTAACATTCTTTTAAAAATCACTTAAACAGTAGTGTACAATCGTTCATGTTAGTTCATTATGAATAATGTTAACATACTACTTTTAAAAGTTAAGTGTCAGACTTACTGTAAAATTATCAACAATTTACTATTGTGTTAAACTTATTGTAAAATGTTCGTAATATGTTACTGTATGTTTTAATGCTTGAAAAATGTTTTTACATTTTTTTGAAAAGCTGTTGAAGTTTTGTTAGTGTGCCACTTTTTTGTCGACTAGTGACAAAATGGTGATTAAATTAAAGGACAACTCATGCCTTACCACGTTTAATGGTACAGTAAGTGGAGCTGCACTGTTTTAAGCTACACAAAGGTCCTCCACACCCCAAGCACACAAAGGCACAGTCAGACGGCCTGTGGTCACACCGATCTCTCTGTATGGCCGTCCTCTCTCAAACGCTCTTTGAGATAGAAATCTGACTGCAGTATTAGTGGCCTTATCAGACTCTCACAGCGACTTCAGGCTGGAGGTGGAGGAACGGGGGAGTCAGTATCAACTCATCCAAGATGAATTCCACACATTCCAGACCGGATAGGCATGAAGCCAGTGCTTTCCCTCTCAATGCATCCGCTCGCAATGGAGAAGAGACGACAGCAAAACAAAAGAGACTTTTTTTTTATGCTTAAAGGGGTCATATGATACCTGGTCCAGTGTTTTTGGGCACTGTTTTACACACTGTCGCAGCTAATTACGGCAGAAAGACTTATATTAAAGATTTCAAATTCTGTCATTATTTATGTCTATAGCCTAATTATTAACTAGCCTAGTTAATAATATAATTTGTGATTAAATAAAAAATGACTGAATTAGAAAAACACCCCAAAAAAAAATAAAAAAATGTGTCTTCAGTCGCTGGGGTATATTTGTAGCAATAGCCAAAAATACATTGTATGGGTCAAAATTATTGATTATTGATTTCAAATTCTGTCATTATTTATTAGCCAGTCAAAGCACAAAGGAAGACGATATTATGAAGAATGTCTTCATAATGTGTTTTTTGTCCATACAGTGAAAGTCGATGTTGGTCCAGTGTTGTTTTGGACCCCATTGACTTCCATTATATGTATAGAAACAGAATGCTTCTTTTGTGTTTTCAAAGAGGTGGGGAACAGTAATAGTAAAGTAAACTTGATTAGCCGCCCACATTCCTGAGGTCCTACAGCTCAGTTTGCAGTTCCTGGCAGGGTCAGCTGTATCCAGCGACGGCCAACGTGACATCCAACCACACGCTGTTACATCAAGCAAACGCACTTCCACCTGAGCCAGAGTTAATGTCCACAGACGTACCTTGGATTCCATAGAGTCTGTTGAGTCGTGACCGTCTGGCCTCATCTGTGTACGGCACCGCCAACCACGGCATCTCGCTAAAATACTGAGTAAATGAGCATCCGCTCGCAATGGAGAAGAGACGACAGCAAAACAAAAGAGACTTTTTTTGATGCTTAAAGGGGTCATATGATACCTGGTCCAGAGTTTTTGGGCACTGTTTTACACACTGTCGCAGCTAATTACGGCAGAAAGACTTATATTAAAGATTTCAAATTCTGTCATTATTTATTAGCCAGTCAAAGCACAAAGGAAGACGATATTATGAAGAATGTCTTCATAATGTGTTTTTTGTCCATACAGTGAAAGTCGATGTTGGTCCAGTGTTGTTTTGGACCCCATTGACTTCCATTATATGTATAGAAACAGAATGCTTCTTTTGTGTTTTCAAAGAGGTGGGGAACAGTAATAGTAAAGTAAACTTGATTAGCCGCCCACATTCCTGAGGTCCTACAGCTCAGTTTGCAGTTCCTGGCAGGGTCAGCTGTATCCAGCGACGGCCAACGTGACATCCAACCACACGCTGTTACATCAAGCAAACGCACTTCCACCTGAGCCAGAGTTAATGTCCACAGACATACCTTGGATTCCATAGAGTCTGTTGAGTCGTGACCGTCTGGCCTCATCTGTGTACGGCACCGCCAACCACGGCATCTCGCTAAAATACTGAGTAAATGACTCCTCTGACCTGCATCACAAAACACAAGCTGTTGCAATCTTCATTGTGTGTTTAAAGTGTCCTCCAACTTTAAAATAATCAAACAATTATCGGTAATAAGCAACAAGTACGTACGATTTTATGTGTGGAAGTTAAGAATGCACAATATATTGGTGTGAGTTAATGGCCAATATTAGAGATTTGAATTTATTGATATCAGTTGATATCGTATATATCTGTAAATAGACCGATACTGGATATTTCATTGTGCTTATATTCCCTATTTTTTGATTAGATAATCGCCATTGCGATTTTCCAAACCTCACTTTAAGTTAATCTCTAAATACACTTAATTAATCATTTAATAACACACACTGTTAAATCCATTTTCACGCTGTACATTTTAATATGAATAAACACTGAATATCTGGCATTCAAATTAAAACCTGGAAATACATAGAATGTTTTAGGATTTTGAAGAAATGGCATGTGTGTGTGTGTTTAAGCAATATAATTTGTAATGTGTTTTTTTTTAGGGTTTTATTATTTTTTTTGAGACAAAGCAATGTAGTTGTAATTTTACTGTACCGTACTTTTTGTAAATGCTTGTAATTTTAATTTTGCCGATTTATCGGTTATCATAACATGAAAATCATGAAGATCAGTATTTTAATAATTAGTGCATCCCTAGTGAACGTATATATAAAAATTGTCCAAAATCTGAGACCACACCAAATATTTGGGATTCAAAAATTACATTTTAACCTGGAAATAAAAATTTTCTAAGGATTTTTATGAAATGAAAAATAGAAATGTGAAGACAAAATTAATCCACTGAAATTGTTTAGTGTGTGTGTCTATAGCCTAATTATTAACTAGCCTAGTTAATAATATAATTTGTGATTAAATAAAAAATGACTGAATTAGAAAAAAAAGCCTCAAACTTGCACACGAGTTATTAGAGGTCTGAATCAGACTCAGTGAATCGTTCACAGCCATTATACAGTCTCGCTCACTGAATCATGACTCATTTTTTGGTTATATATCAATTAAAAATGTTTCTGTTATTTATACTAATAACTTACCCTTTGTTATTTTAGTATCAGTGAGATATTATAGATTTTATTAATATTTGTAATTAGGTTTTAATTTTATATTCCATTTTTATTTAAAATTTTAAGTTTTAGTTATTTTAAATTTTTTTGTCATTTGTAGTACTTTTAACATGTCTATATAGTTTCTATTAATCTTAATTTGTAGTTAAAATAAATTAAAATGAGAAATGTTGCCTTCACATCTAGCTGAAATAAAAATGTTTCATTAATATATTTTTTAAGTTTTATTTTTTTTTTTATGGTTTTAGTTTTAGTTAAACTAAATAAAAATGCTATAATATATATATATATATATATATATATATATATATATATATATATATATATATATATATAGGGGGGGCGACACACTCTCATCATTCTTGTTGTAATGTATTGGGAAGCCAGAATTTGTATCCATCAACAGAAACATGCATTAGCCGAACTCTAACAAACCATATTACAGATGCACTGTCAGATTTAAGTTGAACCCTAGTGCATGCCGAACCGAACCGTGTGTGGAGAACCGTATGGTTAGATTTTTTACCGAGAACCGTTGCACCCCTAATATATATGTGTATATAATAGGGGTGTTACGGTACACAGATATTACGGTTCGGTATGTACCTCGGTTTTGGGAGTCACGGTTCGATACGATTTCGGTACAACAGGAGAAAAAAAAAATCTACTATGCTAGGTTTCTTTTCATTTATACATAACAGACAGTAGTACAAATTAAAAAATTTTCTACCTAGATGTGAAAATACTAAATATGTTATTAAATTATAATGTTATATAAAATCTGCAGTACATATATACATACAAGGAATAAATACTTGAAATAGATTTGATTTAGTTAACAGATAAACAATAGAGAAAAACAGTGCGACATGTAACGTAGCCTATATATACGGGGTTTCAGTTCATTTTTGTGACATGCTTTTGTTCACAGAAAGGAAACTCAAATGGCAGAAAGCGACATCCTATTTGTTTTCTTTATTTTACAAAAGCACAATGTTTTGTTTTCACTGTGAGTGTTACAACAGGAGAAAAAAAAAAATCTACTATGCTAGGTTTCTTTTCATTTATACATAACAGACAGTAGTACAAATTAAAAAAATTTCTACCTAGATGTGAAAATACTAAATATGTTATTAAATTATAATGTTATATAAAATCTGCAGTACATATATACATACAAGGAATAAATACTTGAAATAGATTTGATTTAGTTAACAGATAAACAATAGAGAAAAACAGTGCGACATGTAACGTAGCCTATATATACGGGGTTTCAGTTCATTTTTGTGACATGCTTTTGTTCACAGAAAGGAAACTCAAATGGCAGAAAGCGACATCCTATTTGTTTTCTTTATTTTACAAAAGCACAATGTTTTGTTTTCACTGTGAGTGTCCACACAAATAAAAGTAGACATTTTACAGTGATGCATTATTAATAAGCTAATAAATGACGAAGTGTTTAAAGTTGATTCTTCAGGAAACAAGTGATCGCGCCGGCGCACACACACACAAAACATATCAGTTCCAGCATTGCTAACTTCACAGCGCAGTGAACCAATCATCAGCGCGTCTGCCTCTGTGTCACCGTTGGAACGCGACTGAAGTACAAAGCCTATAATTCCTTTGTCAGTGAGAGACTTCAGAATCAGCACATGGTCACTGTCTAGTGGGCTTTGTTTTCAAGTGCGCAACTCATGGCATTCGCTGTTCTTCTGCTGGTGGTTATCAAACAGCGTTGCATTACTGCGGGTGCCCCCTTCTGGATTGAGGGTGAATTGCCTGTATTCGTTGTAAGGCCTCATGCACTGAACCGAGATGTCCGTACCATGACGGTTCGGTATGAATACATGTATCGTTACACCCCTAATATATAAATATATATACTATATATTTATTTCACATAACAACATTTATTTTATTTCAAGTTTTTATTTTTTCATCACGTTTTAGTTCACTATAATAAGCCTATTACTAACATAATTTTGCTATTGCAATTCATTATTTATTGGTATTTAAGAAAATTAGCACATCAGATCCAATTGTATAGGATGAATCAACTGCAATTTAATTTCCAAAGTGTGGCCAGGTGTGGCCATATTAGTTTTAGTTACCTACAGTATAACTAAATCATTAGTTATTGCAATCAATTTATAATGATACTCTTAGAAAAAACATAAGTACTTAACAAAAAAACTTGTTTAACATATGAGATCTGATTGTACAGGTTAAATCGACCGTGATTTTGTCTCCAAAGAACAGCTAGGTTAGAAACACTAGCACAGAGCACTCACCCAGTGTGCAGAGAAGTAAACCCCCACATAGGATCCCTCCAGGGCACCGCTGTCTGTCGTCTGTCGGTTGTTCCTGAGCAAGGGCCCGGCCACCACCTCCACAAAGGGCTTCGGCCCCCAGGGGAACTCCAGGCCTGCAGGACGGGTGGGAGCAGAGCAGAGGCAGGACTCTGATTACTGTCACACAATCCTCCTTTCACTGCCAGCGCAGCACATGCATATGTCATTCATATATATATATATACAGTGGGGAAAAAAAGTATTTAGTCAGCCACCAATTGTGCAAGTTCTAGTCTGATTTGTAAACAGGATCAGGATCTCTTCACTGAACAAAACTGAAATGGTCATAATTCCAATCAGAATGATTCATTCACTCCTCTGGTTCTCACATTCAACTCACTGAATCAATCACTAGGAATTCTGAATAAATCAGTCTGATTTGCACATAGGACCAATATGTTTACTGAAACAACCCAGAATTCAGATCATAATGATCAAAATCAGTGAGTGATTCATTTAATGATCTAGTTCTTGAGTTCAACTCACTGAATCAATCACTCAGATTCCTAAACGAATCAGTCTGATTTGCAAATAGGACAAATCTGTTTCATGAAAAGAACTGGAATGATCAGAATTCAGATCAGAATGGTCATAATCAGTGAATGATTAATTTACTGATCTGGTTCTCAAGTTCAACTCACTGAATCAATCACTCAGATTCATGAAAGAATCAGTTTTATTGGCTAACACAACCAATCTGTTTTCTGAAAAGAAACAGAACTAACAGAATTCAGATCAGGATAATCAAAATCAGTAAATAATTTACTGATCTGGTTCTATAGTTCAATTCATGAATCAATCACTTATTTATAAATGAATCAGTCTGATATGCAAATAAGACCATGTTTCATGAGGGAAATATGTATCCAGTTTTAATGATTCTTGAGTTGACAGTTCACTGGCGGGATGTTTATCAGAGAATTCTGACTTAAATATTGGCCCATTTGTCACACAAATTTATTTAATCTGAATCTAAGTTGTGTGGACTACTTTTATGATGCTTTTCCATGTTTTTTGCGCCATTTTGGAGCTTAACAACATGGTCACAGGACAAAAGTGTCTTTATTCTTTGTTACAGGCTTTATTAGTCAGAAAGGACAAAAGCGCTGGGCTGTTGCTGTGCTTTGAAACTCCCACACATTCAGCCGGGGCCTTTTGTTATGTCAAGGGCCCTTTCAACCCTCTGCCCTCTGAACCTGCTACTGTGCACAAGTTCACACACTCACACTGTACAAACACACCGGATATTCCCCGTCCACACATGCTTTCAAACAAAAGCTCTTGACTACGTCGTCACATAGAAAGCAGAGTCATATGTCATACAATCCTGCGTGCCGGTGTTTGAGAACGACACTGAGCTTCATTTTTCACTCTTACTGCTGGTAAGTGCAGTAGCCGAGGCTCATTAAGCCAAGGAGGGGAATCTGTCATGTTGATCACTTGACAGATTCCACCATAAGAATGTTTTTACAGAAACGCAGTGGCTCCCTGCCTTTCCAGGCAAATAAAATGCCTTTCTTTCACCTGCAGAAAGTTGCATGACACCACTCAAGCGAGCTGAGGCCTATCAAACGCTTAGAGATCTTCAAATATCGTTACCACACAGACAGGTGAAGAGCAGTGAAGGACAACCATGTCCCGTGGTGCCAAGTCAAGTATGCAATGCGAGTTCCTGAGCATGTGAAAGTCAAGTTAAAGGGATAGTTCACCTCCAAATAAATGATTTACTCACATGTAGTAAAGTTATTTATATAGTGAACTCCGACTCATGACTCAATCATTTAGATATTTATTGAAAAGAACTGGCTCATATGAATTAATCAAACTCACTAAATCAATGATCCAGTCATCAAATTTTGGTCTGCTAGTCACACTATCGTATGGCTTCGGACGATTTGGAATATATAGTTTATGGACCATAAGAGCAGTCCATACAACTTGTGCACTATATTTTTCTAAAGACATCAAATAGTTTAAAGTTGTTAATAATGCTGTCAAACGATTAATCACATCCAAAATAAAAGCTATCGTTTACATAATATATGAGTGTGTACTGTGTATATTTATTATGTATATATAAATACAAACACATGCATGTATATATTTAAAAAAATATATGTTGTTTATATATTAAATATATTTATATATAATATAAAATATAATAGTATAAATATATAAACATGTAAATATTTTCAAAATATACACCGAATGTGTGTGTATTTATATATACATAAATAAACAAACACCGTACACAAATATATTATGTAAACAAAAACTTTTATTTTGGATGCGATTAATCGCGATTAATCGATTGACAGCACTAGTTGTTAAGCTGTAAATTTAAGAACTACTGTGACCAGATCACTGTGTCAAGAAATTATTCAAGAACTAATCAGTCAGATTCGCAGAAGTGAACCCGACCATGACCAATCAAAATCAATCATGAAAAACGATCAATAGTTCGAAAACAATCAATACTCACAAATCCATTTCTCAAGATTCAATCTACACTTATTCACTTAGCAGACACTTTTATCCAAAGCGACTTACAAATGAGTAACATCACAAAGTATTTCTCCATCCAAAGTTGCGAATTTAACTTGTGCACAAAATTGGAATATTGCATAAAACATTTACAAATAAAGCGCCGTTTCCATCCAACGAGTCAAAGAGAACAAAATTGTCACTTCCTGATAAACTGGCACTAAATATCACTAAGAAAAGTAGGAGAAGCCACTGAATATAATTTTCATATATAGTAAATTACTTGCGCCTCAGAGTAAGCAGACAAAACACAACAAATGCAGTCACTGCTTTCGGAGGTGGATGTCTGCTGTTTGGGAACGCAGTCATGCAAGAAAGTTCTGGGAGGCAATTATACAGAAATACTTTGACGACCAAGACAACATTTGAGATGCTGTGCAATAGGGCTGAGCGAGATGGGCTTAAAAATATATCACGATATTTCATTTATTTATTGCGATAACGATATCAATGACGATAATTCAGGGAATCCCAACATCTCAACATTAAAATGCAACAACGTCACTTACATCATTATCACCGCAATATACGGTCTATATTTATTAAGTATATATAAATACACACACATACATGTACAGTGGGGCAAATAAGTATTTGATACACTGCCGATTTTTCAAGTTTTCCCACTTACAAAGAATGGAGAGATCTGTAATTTTCATCGTAGGTACACCTCAACTGTGAGAGACAGAATAAAAAAAAATCCAGAAAATCACATTGTATGATTTTTAAATAATTAATTTCCATTTTATTGCATGAAATAAGTATTTGATCACCTACCAACCAGCAAGAATTCTGGCTCTCACAGACCTGTTAGTTTGTCTTTAAGAAGCCCTCCTATCCTCCACTCATTACCTGTATTAATTGCACCTGTTTGAACTTGTTACCTGTATAAAAGACACCGGTCCACACACTCAATCAATCAGACTCCAACCTCTCCAATATGGGCAAGACCTAAGAGCTGTCTAAGCAATATTTCCAAAATATATACTGTTTGAGTGTGTATTTATATATACATAAATATACACAGTACACACACATATATTACAAACAAAAACTTTTATTTTGGATGCGATTAATCGTTTCACAGCACTAGTACAAACACATTTTATCATCATACCTTCTAGAGAGAAATAGTGCAGGCACTCGACAAAAATTAAACTTTCTAATGCGAATATGTCGACCGCCTGCATTTGTGTACACAATTCCCTGTATGCTGAAACCATTCTATCGCACCAAAACTTAAGTATAATTTTGGTTTTAGATCATATAGCACACAAGTTGTATGGACATTTTTATGGAGTGTTTTGTGTCATTTCTGGAGCTTAAACTATAAACCACAGAGGTCTGTGAAGTTTCTTCAAATAATTCTCCATTCCCATTCAACAAGGGTTTGGAACAACATGTGAAAAGCAACCGAGTAATCATTTTTGGGTGAACTTTCCTTTAAACCCCTGTAAAGAAAGAGTGGGTGAAAAATGAAGCCTGGTACTCACCTTTTGGATCATCTCTAACTACAAGCAAGCCATTCCGACACACCACCTTCCCCGTGGCAGCATCGATGAACACCAGAGAAGGAATACTAGTCACCTTGTACTTGTTCCAAAGCTTCATCTACAAAAAGAAAAGACACACATTGACTGAGATGAGAGACTGGAAATCAAAAGATATTCAAAAGGAATATGACCAAAATAATAAGGAGGATTGGGAATGTTTGTGGTGAAGAGAGAGATGATGATTCATCTCCGCTCATTCCTCTATTTCCAAAGCTATTTTGCCTTTTTAACCATTAGAGATACAATCAATACTTTCCCATCTTTAAACAGTCCACGTGAGGCTTAAACGTCTTCCTCTCGCTCTGAAGTATAAAGAGACTCAGAAATGTGGCGAGTTGAATTAAGTGCTATCTGCAGCCGAGGCGAGCCGGCGAAGAATTAGCTAAGGGCCAGAATCAAACATCTACAGGGCTGATTCAACTTTAAAGAGACTGGCATCTGAGGAAATTCGAGGAGAGTGCTCTTTCTTTCTGTAGTCTCAGTGAAAGCGTGGCACATGCCTAAAAAGCCAGCGATTAAACCTCGCTCGACAGAGCCGTTTGCTCGCGTAGTCTCACGACTGTGGGCGCTGCTGCTGTCTTCATCCTTTGCTGGTGAGAACAAACCTGGTAAATTATTCAGGACGTGGCCGTGCGAAGGTCTAATAGATGAAAGACGCCTATGAAAGTAAACTACAGTAACTGCAGCGGACTGATGCGAAACATGTAGCGCTTGAAACGCAGGTGCCACGGACATGAATGATTTATCAAAACGCTAGACTCACATGCAAAAACAAGGGCTGTTAGTTGATTTAATTCTCAAATTAACTTCATGATATGCTAAAAAATTTATGAAATTAAATAATTTTGTCTGAAAAGCCCCTTGAAAAAAGAGAATATTACTGTTGTAGTTTTCCAAATTGGCCAAATTCCTTATCGAATATACATACAGATCAGAGGGCATGGCTAATTGTAAAATAAATTACCTTTTTAATAATTAATCACATTAAATTGATTAAACTGACAGCACAAGCAAAGAATCAGGCTGGGGATTGATGTAGGTATACAATACAATTGTTTTCCATTTAGGAATAATTTGAGTTTAATGTCTATTTTGCTTACATATTCTTATTTATGAATTACATTTTCTCTGCTAATGCTGTAAACAGTACAGGGCATCAAAATGGTAAATCATGTTTTGAAACGTTATGTTTTTGATTCACTAAAAAGATTTGGCTCACAAGAATCATTTGCATGTAGTTAACTCGTGAATCATACTACATCGGTCACAACTAAGGTAAAATATGATTTCTTTTCACACATCCACTGAAAATACTGTAGGCACAGAGCAAAAGATTGGGATCTGTAGAATCAATCAAATGAAGATGATAAAAGATTAAAATAAAATAAAATACAGCCTTACTGTAGTTTCAGTTAACAATACGTGACCCTGGACCACAAAACCAGTCATAAGGGTACATTTCTCGAAATTTAGATTTATACATCATCTGAAAGCTGAATAAATAGGCTTTCCATTATTGTATGATTTTTTATGATAGGACAATATTTGGCCGAGATACAATTATTTGAATATCTGGAATCTGAGGGTGCAAAAAAAAAAATCAAAATACTGAGAAAATCACCTTTAAAGTTGTCCAAATGAAGTTCTTAGCAATGCATATTACTAATCAAAAATTAGGTTTTGATATATTTACAGTAGAAAATTTACAAAATATCTTCATGGAACATGATCTTTACTTAATGTCCTGATGATTTTTGGCATAAAAGAAAAATCGATAATTTTGACCCATACAATGTTTTTTTTGGCTATTGCATAAAATATACCCCAGCGACTTAAGACTGGTTTTGTGGTCCAGGGTCACATATATATGGAGTGTGAAGCCGAATGTTAAACGTGGAGGAATAAAGCAGTGGAGGTCCAAATTACTTAATTCCTGCGCTGCTTGATCAAACTATTTGATGCATAGCTGATGAAATGTTTTCACCGGAGGAGCGTTTAGATGTGAACAGGCAGTCAAAGAGTGTTACTCTGTTTCTTTAAGCCTGAAGGATTGTGTCCAGACAGTCGCTCCAACACAAACCTGCAGCACTGCCATAGACAACAGCGCTCAATCACTGGCTCGTCTGCACCCAAATCTCTCACTCCGGCCTGAAGCGTACACGGCCTACGCTGCAAAAACAGTGAGGTTAAAGGGCACTAACTGTGAACGTCTCAAGTATCAACACCGCTGCTTACCTTACACACACCTGTGAATCTGACACAGCTGTGAGATCTACAGTGAGTCGTGAGAAGAGCCGTGAGGGAACAAAGCTGGCCCGCAGGCTGTGAGACAGCTGTATGAGCGACTGGATGAGGGAGATGGGTAATATGAAATGAAAGACAGCTCCATGATCAGCCATGTCAACTGCTGCCCATCAGTTCAATGAGGCTAAAAAAAAAAAAAACTCACAGCCTGAACCTGATGAAAATAACCAATTAAGGAAGGACAGTGATGACTGCTGACATGTTTTAAAAGTCAAAGACTTTCTTCAAAAATGGGCAGATAAGTCTATGTTTCAAATAAGAGGAAAAATCTAAACTCTTTAAATGATGCTTGAATAAAATAAAAAATAAAAAACAAAAATAAAGAATAAAAATAAATACAATTTAAAATAAACAAATACACAAAATAAAAAAACAAATAAATTAATTAAAAGAAAATAAATATATAAAAAAATAATAATAATAAAATTTAAAATAAACTAAATACACAAAATAAAAACAATTATTTATAAAAATGTTTATTTAAAAAAAAAATAATAATAATTAAAATAAAATAAAATATAATAATATAATTTAACACAAAAAATAAACAAAAAGTAAAATACACAAAATTAAATAAAACGAATATACAATAAATATACATTTAAAAACTAAATGTTTATTTAAATAAAAATTAAAAAAATTATAAAATAAAATAAAATATCAACAGTACAAATAAATATTGGTCAACAAATTGGTCCATAAAATTGCCTGAATGGATTAAAGTGATGGAAAAACAATAAAAAAAAAAACAAAATGATTTTGAAATAATCTTTTTAAATTAAAGCCACATAACATCATAACAGATGTTTATTAGTAACACCAGCCCAACAGTTATTTGTAACAGACACGTACACTAAATACACTTGCTACTGTGTTACTGTAGGTGTTATTTTGAAGTAAAATTGTAAAAATCTATAGTCACGTATATATATTTCCATACATCTCTACTGCATTTCTCCCGAGTAACATTTCCTTTCTCTGTGCACCTGCATATGCACAAAATATCACAGAAACACCTCCACACCGCAGCATGAAAAGAAGCACAGCGCATGGAAATACTGAAAATGAGCAAAGAAACCAAATGGCATTCAGCTCTCGCTAGCAAACGACGACTTAAAGCATTTCTGACGTCTATAGACAGCATCTGATTCGTTTTCATCGCGGCGCAGCCTGGCAAACCGTGATCAAGCTAGAGAGTATCACAATTCACCCGATTAGCATAATCCTGCAGGGGATGATGGTCTGTAATCACAGCGGCTGCATCACCTGCATTCATCAGTCACCGTTACCCTTCTCGAAATAATGATGATTTATGGCAAATTACTTCCAATTTCCTTTTATTTTGCGCTGGTGCAATTTGAGTTTCCATTGCAAGTGATGCAGAAAGAATCAAGCGATTGTTCTCATGGCATTGTGATGATAAGCTGATCTCAGCTAGTCTGCATATTTCCAAAGTGTGGGCTTTTCTTTAAAATTCCTTGCTTGTTATTAATTTTCTAATTTCTATGTAATGGCAACATTTACACAGACTCTCCAGAGGGCTGCAGAACCTCCGAGCTGTGTTTCTGCTGCACGCATGATGAAATACAGCAGATTTCATTTCACACCAGCAACAATAATGGCCTCAGAGACGTGCCATTGGCAAAAACAACAAACATTAGTGACAGCCGTCATTAATAACTCCTGTTGTTTCTGCTTTACTCCGAGCAAGGCCTTCGATGTGCCAATATTCCCTATTGTGACCATTTAACAACCACAGTGGACATTAACTATACATTACATTCACTCAAACAAAACATGGGCAGATCGCAGCCCATTTGTTCAACCACAAATGGATCAAACATGCTTCAGTAGTAATGAAAGAAGCTCTCTCTTCTTTGAGAAAGTGAGTTTAAACGGATGAAAAGAGAAATTACATATCGAAGCAAATAAAGCGTATTTTTAGAACCATTAAGGGTTTCTTTTGAATGGTGAAATAATTATGACAGTTAAGCACAGGCCCTATTAGCCTACTGAATGTGAAACTGTGGATGCATTTTGGGAGGAAATTATACAAATTGTTAGTAAGACTCTCAGTAATTATACAAAAATCCTGCTTTGTGTATGTTGGATATTGCACCAGAAAATGTGCATATGTCTTAAGATAAAAGACGTTATGGTGCCGTCTAGCTATGATTTGTGGATGTTATTCTGAGACACTGGAAGTCAGATTCGCCCTCTTTATATGATGAATGGGTAGAACTTATGATGAATATGCGATTATGTTGAACGTGTGATATTTTTTTAGGACCTTATCATCAGTTTATTAAAATGTAGAGTCTTGTTCTCGCCCCAAATTGAGAGAAAACAAGAAATACTCTTAAAGGGTTAGTTCACCCAAAAATGAAAATTAGGCTGTGTTTTACTCACCCCAGAGCCATTCTAGGTGTATATGACTTTCTTCTTTCAGACGAATCTAGTCAGAGTTAGATTAAAAATTGTCCTGGCTATTCCAAGCTCTATCATTGCAGTCAGCGGGTGTTGCACGCATCAGTCCAAAAGAAGCTAAATAAAAAGCGCCCATCCATTAAAAAAATATGGCAATTAAGACAAATATGGATGCTTTATGCAAATGTACTCAACATAGAACATGAAGACTAGACATGTTTCAAAGGTCATAGATGTTATTCAAAGAACTTGAACAAAAGAACATACAAATATCAGGTTCCCATTACTTCTCTTTCTTAGTTTGCACTGAGCAATTTACTTACACAA